CCGTGATTATGAAGGGATCCGGAGCGATATCGAATCCCCTAGCGGGCAACCCTATAATCTGACGCGTTCGGTCAGTATCAAGTGCGGTGACGAGCTCCTGGTTAGTCCACCAGATGCTGGTAACCCGGTGACTTTGATAAGACCCGATGTGGCTACCAAGTTAATTAAGGAGGGATGTGCTCGTGGTCCTTATTCCTTGAGGGGTACTGGCTTCAAACTCACTGGAGTTACTGGAGGTGAGGCGATTACCGCGAAGACTTTCGTCGTCATGAAGGTTCACCTGAAGCCACTGGGGTCCCAGGAGTATTCCCTGTGTTCTTTCGTACAGGCATTGATCGCCCCGGGACTAACTCTGAAGTTCCTCATCGGCAACAACACACTCCATTCCTGGAACTGGCGTAGTTTCTGGAGGGGGGCCCCTAACCTCATCGTTGTGGATGTCGAAAAGCGATACAATAATAATCTCGATTCATGTCTGATCCCGAAGGAGTCTATTCGTTCGGAAACAGGAGAACGTTGGAGAATCGCACTACCCCTGGAGCGTAGTATGGGATTCCGTGAGAAGGCTCCTGACTCTCAAGAACATGCGAAGGGGCTTTGCGGTGCTGTCACGGTCATCCCGCAAGACGGGGTCCTACAGGTCCCGGTGACTGTTGGGGGCGTAGTCAGGATGTGGGAGTGCGGTGAAGTTCACCGGGTGAACGTAAAGTAGATTTCTTGCAATCTCACGCACTCTCGATATACCCCAACTATTGAGACGTTAGTGTCCAATCTTTTCTGTCTGTTCCCCTTATGCCACCCAGAGTCAGAGCAGCCTTGCGTTCTGCGGGAAGTGGTAGGAGAGGCGCGACCGGAAGCCCTACGATACCAGTTAATGAGACCGCTGATGATACCGTTGATGATACCGTTGATGATACCGCTGATGATACCGTTGATGATACCGTTGATGATACCGCTGATGATACCGCTGATGATACTTATAATATTGCCGCTAATACTACGATACCCTTAAATGCCGAATTAACAAGTGAAGTTACTGCCGTGGAATCTACGAGTTCGAGGCAGAACGTGCAAGGGGCGATTGCCGATATAGAGGGGCGAATTGGTCGGGGCCCATTAAATTCCCGTCCACACCTTCATCCATAGACTAATCAATACTCCAGTTAGTGCCAGTATCCCATGTATAAACTGCTACTATGTTAACATTCGACATCAAGTGTTCGCACTAAATCTGTCCCCATAGGCTCGAGCCAGCAGTTAAAATCCAAGTTTTGTGTTCTTCAGCCTCTCTGCAAGGTTGCACTGTACGTAGTTAGCCTAGTTTCATTAACAATAAATGGTGGTTAGACCTAGTCGTATAGTGAAGTCTCAGCTAGTATGGACAGCGATACTAGGTTCAGCAGCAATAGGGGCTGTTGGGGTGATTAGGGCTAATAGGAATAAAGCAAGCAAGGACTGTGTGGATAGATCCACTCGCGATGAAGGTATGCTTGCGTCGGAGATGCATCTGTAAGAGTCAGCGCCTTGTAGATGATATTGAAGGCCATTCGGCGAGGAAGAAGCTGTCACGAAGTGATCTGTGGAGGGTCATAATTAGGATACTTGACCTCAGGAATGATAGGCATGCTCAGAAGCTTTGTAAGGGGCTGCTCCGATGGGTTATTATACCCATCGGGTTTACTACTGCTAAGGATAACCCCCTGATGTGATCAGGTATATTCATGTTGGGGATAGCCTGCATCTTTGCTCAAATAGATGTCCGGAAGGCTAGGTTACAAGGAGAACTTTTTAGAGCGGTCTTTGAGGGCCGCAAGGATGTTTTTGGATCACTCCTCATCCGCAATCTGGGTTTGGGTTTTGCCCTATCCGTCGCGAGTAAAGCCCTGGCTAATTTTGTTAGTACTATGGGATGCTTCACTTTTCTTCTAATTGGTTAACCTTTGGTATCTTAGGTAGTCTTGGTCGCCATTGGCATGCTAAAATGGCTATGTATCTACAGGGCCTCTACTTCGACAGCCTAAACTACTATCACCTTCAGGGGAAGGCTCATGCTTATGATAGGATATGCACTGATGTGACATCACTTCATATCCCTTATTGTGACTTCGACGATAGGTTCCACTCCTCACGAGGGATCTTGGGCTCGCAGCATGTGACTTAGTTAATAGTATCACCAACTTCACGTTTTTCTCGAGCCTTATATATCCGTTTGCCAAGAGTATAAGTGGATCAAGGATGGATGGTCTGAAGCTCACTGCTGGCCCTATATTGTACTACCAACCTCACTTAGCAATGCTGAGTTATGACATGCTGTAGGTATGCAGCGTCATCCTACCTTATAGTCCAACGCTTAGCCCCGGACTATGGTTCACAGAGTGAGTGAGGAGATCTCCGACTTGGTTTAGTCGTGGTTATACTGTTAGGGAGCGACTACGAAAGCTCGAGTC